GGTACCCCTACCAAAAACCACTTTAGATAGTATGATACTTATCACCTCTCAGCTATGTCGCCAACCCTTTGAGTGCGTGCAGGCATAATCCATAACCAGAAGATCCTTCAGTTAGCTGATCATGGAGTTGTGAGAATGGTGTGAAACATTTCTGTGCCTTTTCTATCTGGTCTCTGAACAATTTGTAGCATCCACCTCCTGGGGGCCTCGGGAGCTTCATTGTGTTATATCCTTCCCTCTCAATACCTTCTGCCACCCCCTGCCCTCCATAGGGAATCCTGCTGGCTCTAACCCATCAGATCCTCATGGTTCAGGATCCTTCCATTCAAAGCAAAGCACCTACTACACAGGCAGCATCCCCCTTGCTACACTGACGTCTCCCACAGTACAACTTGGGTATGTTACTATGTGGCCAAGTTTTCTGTCTTCCTCAAGTTCCCTTCCCCACAAGAAGGGAAGGTAAAGAAGTAAGGGGTCAAAACACTTTTGTGTTCCTGCATATAGATTTGCACTAGTACGGAAGTAGGGGGCATGAGAATCAACACGGAGTAAGTTTCATCATAACAAGGGCAACTCAGTGACCTTTGCTACTTGAGAAGAAAAACACTTGAGGCAAAACCTTGATTTCTGTCACACAGGTGGTCAACATTTATAAGTTGTCTTCCAACCTGAGCCAGCTCTTTGCCTGCAGTCTGTCACTTGTGTTCTTTTATCAGTGAAGGGAACGTCCCATTGGCCAATGGAAAGTCTTGGAAGTTGTCGACTTGCCCTTTGCCTCATCCCTCTTTCAAATAACCACAGGACTGCTTACCAAGAATACTACCTAAGGGGCTCTGTTATCTGTCCACTTCCTCTTGTCCTTGGGGCCACTCCTAGTTCAAACTGTCATCTCCCTGGTTACTCAAATGCCTGAGCTTAACTTTCCTCCAGTCTGTTCTTCAAGTTGCAGCCAGGGCGATTTTTCTAAAATGCAAATCTGGTCATTCTTCTCTACAAAAATTTTCAGTGACTGCCCATTGCTCTCAGGATGAAATAAAAATGCCTTAACATTTTTAAAAACTCTTGAAATCTGGCTGCTGTTAACTCTTTGTTCTCATCTATTCTCATGACTTTCCTAGCTAAACAGTAAATTTCAACTCAACTGAATTTTCAGTTTCTAAAAAAAAAAAATCTAGGCACTAGTTTTTGTTCTCATATATTGTGCCAACCCTCTAGAAGGCTCTTCTTCCGACCCCACTGCATAATTTTTCCTCATTCCTCCCTTTCGGGGTAGCTGTTCGTCCTCCAGGAAGCCATCCTTGATCCTTACTGGGACTCTTTAGTCTCGTGTGTTCCTGCTGTACATTTTTTTCTCCATGTCATAACATCTATCATGCTACCTTTACCTCCTAAATGAAAAAATGTCTTCTCCCCTTGAACAAGCAACACATGATCATTAATAAGCCAATTATGGGAATGAATAAGGAAGAAAACAAACATTCCCTATAACCCTAATTTCATGGCACTGATTACTTCTGTGCACATTACATATGGGCACCATACACTTAGCTTTATAACTTTATTGTCAATTGAACAACTTATTCTAGACATTTTTATAAATGATAGTCTTGTTTCAATGTACAATGGATCATTAACTCATCCTATGATTATTGCGCATCTAGGTTGCTTCCATTTTCCCATTTTAGACATTGTTGCAATGACTATCCTTACCCATGCCTCCTTTGCACCTAACCAGTTATTTCTGAAGAAATACATTTATAGAAGTATCTATAAGGTTGGTATCAAATTATCTCTTAGCCCTCCCCCACAATAAAAAAATACTCATTTTATAAATAATCTTTTATTTTTCCAACCCAATCAGCAATAGAAAGATGTATTTTTGATGATTTTCCCGATTACTAAAAAAACGTTCAGCATCTTCAGATTTGTTGAGCATTTTTCTGGGTCAATCTTCTTTGCTCAATTTTCTATTAAGTCAGGTTCCCTGGAAGTGGCACTAGAGGATTCTTGTGTGATTTCTTGAGAGTGCTCTATAAGGGACTGAGGGAAACAGGACAGGGCAGGAGAAAGGCACGGAGGTGGTTTCAGAAGTCTCCCCTAGACCTAGTTCCATGGGGAGCGCAGAAGCATAAAGTGCACCACAGAGACTAGAAGGGCAGGCTGTAATGCCCTGCATCAGGCGTCCACCACGGGCCAGCCTCCAGGGCTGGGGG